TATCAAGTGTCTCAAGATGCTTTCAACCCTGAAGAAGCTATTGAATTTTTCTGAACAAAACTCCAACCCATTATTTGTGTGTAGACGTTTCACCTACTTCTTGTCTGCTTTTCAATCATTGTTTTCCACTCTTTTAGAAGGCTCCCTAATTGGTCCCTAAAGATTTAAATGGGTATATTTAAGTGTTTCCTTCATCTTGTGTCTTCTTTTAGTGAATGTGACTCTTTTCTGTTTCCAAAGACACAATGCTTATAATGGTTTTCTGCCAATCAAGAAATCCCTTCTTACTCAACTTTGTCATAACGTTCTCACACATATGCCAAAGCCACATATACCAAAGTTTCATAAATTTTTCATTTGCCAAGAAGAAGTAATTGTTGCGTCCCCTGTAATTGTGGAATCCTACAAAATGTACAATTGAGTAGAGGTTTTATGTTCCTTTATGGTGACAAGAGCATCTCTACTTACATTCAAAAGTCTACCTTCTCCAGTATAACTATACCCCTTTGAGTCAAGTGTGCTCAAAGGTTTGAGATTCATCTTCAGTTCTAGAACGTACCTATATCTGTAAGTGTTCTAATAGCTCCATCAAAAAAATTGATTTTGACTGAACCAACTCCGGAAATTTTGCAATGTATGTTGTTTCCCATAATCACATCATCTCTCCAACTTTCATATATATATATATGAGTTTTGCTTGGGGTACATAGGAGCTAACATAGGGGTTGACATAATACTCACATGGGGGTGAGGCCCGCTTTTAAAATGGGTCCCACCCCATGTGAGTATTATGTGTACCATTATGTAGAAAAATTATGTACAAGTAGCATTTTTGATATAAATATATGGAATGTACGAGCCGAATCTGGAGCCTAATCTTCACAAGTTTGGAACCAATGTTAGAAATCACAAGAATCTTTCCATTATTTTGCCCATCTTCTACAATATCAGACTCCACTATATTTTTGGGTTACTTTCCTTAATTATCTGTAACACCAATAGCTTTGTTTCTATTTTTCAAAGAGTAGCAGTCAACTCTAATGTACCACTTCTCCTTGTATTAGTGACATACTGTACATGTCTTATTTCGATTTGCTCATCATATTCCTATCAAGATTCCTATCTTTATTCATCTCACAAACAACTACGCCTTCAGTCTGACTTACAGAGCACCCTGCAAGATGCCTCATTTTCTCCTTAGATAATAAAGCACCATAAACCCCATCCACTGTGAGAGTATCACGACGATAGAGTATAGTATCTCTAAAATTTAGATATAACAACGAACACGACAACATCAACACTGGGTCCTCTTCTTCATACTTAACCTCTAATGTCTCTAAATCAACCACGATTTATTTGATCATAGTTAACTAATTATCCAGTAATGTACATCAGACATGCGGTGAGAATACAAGTGCTATTTCAAGTGTAACTTATCGGTCAAACTCCTTGTCATACAAAGCTGCTTCAATTTCAACCACAACCAAGTAGCACTTTTCTCATTTAGAACATCTCGAAGAATTTGATTTGATAGATGTACGTGAATTTGAGATTGGGCTTTCTGTTCCTATGCTGCTTTTCATCCTAAATCTAGGTTGAAAGCATTTTATCAAAGTCTAGCAAGGCTTCCTCCAAATCCATCTGCGCAAGAACCACTGGTATCTTTGTCTGCCATAGAGTAAATCTTGCATTGCGATCCAATAAAGAAATATCATATTTCATTGTTGCCATGTGGAACATCACATATGTGAGTACGAACTTAGCCAGTTCTATGAGAATTTTACTTAGGCAAATTCCCTGGTGTGCACTTGCAGAATAAAAAAGGTTTATGGCCAAAATAATAAACAGTATAGAGAACCAAAACTTTATATGAGACATATTGTGTAGCATTTATTGATTAGCCAAGTGAGTTCGATATATTCTTACTATGAAAAATTCAAAGCAAAAACTAGTGATCCCGATGCATTATATTTTAGTTGTATTATTCTTTGTCTTCCTTGTTCTAAGTTGACTTCTTTTTATTTATGTGGGGGATTGTTGGAATTTACGAGTTAGTTTATCATTAAAATGTGTGGATTGAAAAACTCTCCAATACATATATCCATTGGATGCAATTATTCAAGTGCAAAAGGTGAACAACGAAAAGTTACGACCTTTTGATAAGGTGCAATCTAGTCATCAATCATGAAATTGTGCGATTTAATGGTTAAACTTAATTTGTGCCTAGGATCCTCCTAATTCCATTTTCTTCACTCAAAATCAATTCCTTATAATTGATTTCTAATTCTTTCATTCTCAAAATTATGTCAAAATAATTTACAAATTATTTTCGAGTTTCGTATTCAATATTTAGTATTCGATATCTTCGATTCTAAAAGAGTATAGTCAAGCGTTGATTCTCTCAACAAAATTAATATTGTGCTATATTAATCTTGGAAGAAGTATTGTATCTTGGAAGATAAATGTTTATTTAATTTGTTAGGGGGCAAAAGCTGTCTTAAGGAGATTTGAATTCGCATTCCTACTTCCTTATTTCAACATTTTAGTAAGTCGATATTTTTTATGCACGTATCTGATTTCTGTAAGTCAAAATAATATTCGATAATTGGCATATCAATAGAAAATAAAATCATGCATATATTTTAGTGAACGAAATATAATCATGCACCAATTTATCCAACATTAGAGGTTTTACACTGGTGGTAGACAAGGTCGGGGAAGCCAAACTCTCCATATGATCAAGGCGTGGAAGCCTAAAAACCTCACTTGGATTTTGATGGTGTTTCGGATTAAAAAGATAGAAGTTATTTTTTTTTTTCCATACGACTATTGTTAAAAAAATTCTATTTAGTTTTATGAAGAAATTATTACAATGTGACATCGATTTGTTAGAGATTCAATAATCTCTAGAAATTTCAAAGACAAAATCGCTTTTGTTTTGAAAAAAAAAATGTTAACTTGTTTTTTAGACAACTTTACTACTGCATGGACCGTTCTAATATTGGTAGAATTTACATTGGCAGTCAAATAAAGTAAATAAGCCCTTGTTTGAAAAGTGAAACAATAAAAATGAACAAAAAAACTAACTCACGACATCTTGTTTGAAGTTGACACAAGGAGCAATAACCTTGGAGAAAATATATCCATGAAAGTCCTCATCAAAAGGGGAGCAACTGAATCTAGAAAATGTTATTCCTTATAATCGTAAGGTCTAATTGTAGAAGGCTTATTCACCAATGCATTCATTTTCTCTATAATGGGGAGCAAAACTGAATCTACAAGATAGATTTTGAGGTTAGAAATTGTGGACAACTTCGTGTCAGCATTGGGACGCCCTACTAGGTCCGTTCTTCTTCGATTAGAATGGTTTGAAAACTAATTTTAAATAGTACTCATGGCTGCTTGAAAGGTAGGTGTCGGTTGATTCTAGTCTAAAAGTTATGTTAGGAGTCTGATGTTAGGAGTCTGAAGTAAGAAGAAACTATGTAAATAATTATATAAAGTTTCATTTTACTTGTTCTACTATATTGAAATTTTTTCTCAAATGTATATTGATGATGATTGTATTCAAAGTAATCATTATATTTATAGGCAAAAAGAATATTTACGTATGATCCAGTGTTTTTTAGGAGCTATAACATGAAGATAAGCGTCGTATGTTCATAGGCTAATTACTTGGTTATGTCATGTTAGCTATATAAGCGTAGAAATGACAAATTTTTTTGAATATTAGCCGTTTTTTGAAATTATCTGACAAGGACTATGGAAATTAAACTTTACTTGCATCGTCATGTATATATCATCTATTGAACTGCTTTGTTGTCTTAATTGCTTGTCAACTTGAAAATATTATACTTTGCTTTAGTTCATAATACTACAAATCTATTATACATTCGAGCTCGGAATACAACATGTCACTATCATTCTCAAAATAAATTTTAGGTGTATGCTCTTCGTTGAAATGCACTAGCGTCGAGCATGCACTATTAATTTACAATAAAACACAAAGAAATTGAGACAATCTCGGAAAACATATATTTTATTTTTAAAATATATGAACTTTTTAAAACATTCAAACAATCTTTATTCACATATTTTAAGAGATTCAAAACTACTATACATTTATTCAGAACTAAAATTTATAAACAATTCCTGCTTATATGTTTAAAATTTAATTATTTAAACCCCGTATTCCCAAAAATTATACTTCTAGAGAATTTAAATTTAATTTTTACCGCGTTCTTGACTATCAATTTTTATAAATCTAGAGAATTTAAATTTAATTTTTACCGCATTCTTGACTATCAATTTTTATAAATTTTTTATTGGACAAGAGTCCAAGCCTCCTTCGAGCCAACCTCCCATCTCTCTCTCTCGATATATCACTCACCCATGCACAATCTCTCTACATCTCTCAATCTCTCTCTCTTAAGACGTCTATCTGTATGTGGGTCTTCCATTAAAATGGGTGCTAGAAATGAAGAATGTATATGCAAGCCCTGTTACCTCTGGAAAAACCTTAGGGCAAAATCTAGTTTTTCATGAACAGGAAGCATTTGCTTAGTGCTTACCTTTTCAAACACATAGCTCAGGTTGCACATCTGTTTTCTTTCCTTTTAAGAGTTACTTTTTTTCTATATGCTATCAATCTCTAATTAATATTTGTTTCTTTGAAACAGAGAGATGTGCCTTTTTACAGCTTCGTCTTCAACCTGAGATGATGCTTAGGCAAATAAATCAAGTGACTGAAATCGACCGCTGGGAATGGCATAACTATTACACAGTGTAATAACACACACCCTATGGAATCTTCATCCACCGCTGCCGCAAATCCTACAGAATATTCTAAACAAAACTTAACCCTAGTTACCAATTCAATCCAGAAAACATTGGGCATCCTCCACCAACTCGACCTCACTGTCTCCTCTAACAACATGGCATCCCAATTACCCCTTCTATGGGCCATGAATAATTTATAAGTGTTGGAGCTGGATAATATGACGAAATTAGCGGAGATCTGTAATATTCAGGTGCCCATGGAGGTTATTAATTTGATAGATGATGGGAAGAACCCAGATGAATTTGGACGTGTTGAATACTTGTATTGCCAAAAACCTGATTGCTTAAGGCAAAACAAAAAATTCAAGAGCTGGAGAAGTAATCTGATCCAGGAACTGGAACAGGAATTTCCTGTTGCTGCTTTTGTAGCAGAGAGAAAACAGTTTGCACAAGCAGAAAGCACGTTACCAAATGGTGAAGCGGAGGTGAACAAACTGAGATGTGAGAAACATGGAATTGAGGAATCAATTTAATTCAGTCAAGATTGTGATTAATATGTATGAAATTGTTTCTTCAATGGATTTTTGTCATACGAATTTGAAAAATGTTGGTTTGCATAAAATGTGAAACTTGAAAGATTGATTTAATTTCCCCTTTGTTTCCCTAAATGTTTTTTCACAAATGGTTAATAAGACCTATATTTTATGTGTATACAAAATGATTTTATCAAAAACAGATCACTTACAGTTTTTGATAAAAAAAAATCACAAAGAAATTTTGCATTGCTGATTCAGAAATAAAACAATTACTATATAGTTTGGGAAGCAACTATAACTACTTGTGGTCTAATATACTTTTTATTACCAACTTATTATCCACACATATTATGGGACTTACAGTTTAAAATCACCGAAATATTTTAATTTAGTCAAACGTGCATTTAGTTCATTGTAATCTACTCAATATTTAATGAGCATTAAACATTTTAAATGACAATTGAATATTCGTTTGGAAAAATTTATAAATTATTTTATAAATAGTCAAACTTTTAGTGCACATTTCAATAGGCCTACATGAAGTATTCACTTTTCCACCACCTATTTCTTTTTATTTTTAAATTAAATTGTTCATAAATTCTTTTCAAATATCATTTACAGTGCTTATCCACACATTCGATGAATTATCATTGAGTCATCTTCCTTCCCGCCAACACATGCATACGAAGAAACCCGCGAGCAGTTAAATAATTAATAAATCTTCAAGAGAAATTTCTATAATTGGCTTTCTCTTCTATCTCCTATTTATCTATTTTCTATAGTTATTCACTAGAGTAATTAGGATCTCAAAGTCGATTTAGGGCAAGTGTTCAATTGTATTATGATATAGCCATGTGACACGCGATGGACTTTTTTTTCCTCATAAAACCTTTTTGTAGCATTGGATTGATGCAAAAACTACTTTGTCCCAATAGAAAAGAAAGTAAAAAACTAAAAACAAAAGGTTAGCCACAGCCAAATATGAGGGAAAATTAAGCAAACAAAGGATGAGCAAATGGTGGGTAGGATAAAAAAATAGATGAAAGAAAAAAATGGTACCATACAATTTGACAAAAACCAAGCTAGAATTTATGGGGCTCCAGTAACAAGTTTTGAAGTTGCTTAACATCATCATATTTCTTAAAGCACATCAAAAGATAAAGACAGATCAGTACATCCACTGAAAATGAGATAGATTACTGTTTCTTTTGTTTGGGCTCCATATCATAAAGATTGTACAAGATGTCAGGTTTTTCATCACTGACTTCCGAAGAATTTTCTTCACTGATTTGTTGAACCGAAGATTCTTCAACCCTCTTTCTTTTCTTGCTTTCTAAATATAAAACACAAATAAAGACAATAAATATGAGAGACCCTAGAATATATAAAGAAGAAAATTGGAAATTAATTACATGGTTTTGCCTTTCAACACATTACCAGTACCAATATTACTACTGTTTGAGTCTGCGGAACAGCTTGCTGTTGGTGTCGTCGCAGTTCGAAGGATTTTTTCCTTTGTCAAATTGTAGATTCCAACTCCAACTTTGTTAATCAATGTGTCTCCTCGGATCCTTTTTTGTTTGTCTCGAGGAACCCTAGGAGAGAGATCAGATCCCTGAAAGTACAAAAAGAAAATGATGGCCGAATATATTCATAAATGACAGTAACAAGTCATTTATTAGAAAATCAAATTCCAAAAAACCGCAGCTAGGCTTACTTTTTTTCCTTTGGGATTACGAATTGGAAGCTTTCCGTGCATCACGAAGTCATAAACTTCTTTTAGAGATCTAAACTGTTTATTTGTTCTCACATGGACATAATACTGAAATGAAACCACATTTGAATTAACATGGGTTTCTGTAAGAAACGAATTTTATCCTCAGATTTTTAAACAACATCACTGCTATAACATTGTACTATAGCCAGCACCCACTATTCATAAAGCATTAACCAGTTTAAATGAGACTATAAATTATGAGCACCGATGACGCTTTGGAAAATGTGAAATTATACGTGATTTATTATTATATGGAGGCTAATCAGTGCAACTAGGAAATAAACAGAAAAGAAAACAA